ATTACAAAAAGCACCTTTTCAAAGTAGTCTTCGACAATCCTTTTTCACCGTCTTATCTGCGAAATTCATACTTTGTACATTGCGCGAATAATCCGTCTTCTGTGCCACAAAATCGGCATTTAATTCCATTATTAATAATTAATATATTATAAAGTTATATTATTATTAAAGCATACAAATGATTGTGTCGAGCAAAAATATTAATAAAATTCAAAATAGAAAATATTGAAAAGCTTATATATCCTAATGAATGCGTTTAAAAGAATTAAGCATATTCACATGAAAACCGGTGCGTAGTCAGCGGTAGCGAGAAGCGTGAAAAACATTTTCATTGAGATTTTTCCTCGGCAGAACTAACTGCCGTTTAATTGTGAATCAAAAATGCAGACCAGAGAAACGGGACAAAAGTAGAGAAGCGCGCGATAGAAAGAGAAGATGCAAATTCATTAAGGCAAATTACTTTACGCACGGGCTTAAGCGCGGGACGGGCTCGGTGTAATAAAAGGGTACTCGCTTACCCTTTGTTAACGTCACGGTGCAACTCGTGCGCGAGCTTAAGCTCTCGCCTAATACATTCGTCGAGACACACCCGAGTCATCCTGCAGTTCCTGAAGGCGATAATAGATAGCAACAACTCCATAAACTAACGCCTCGAAGCACAAGCGCGAGATAGACTCGCGACAAACAGGGGGCTTTATGCTGACTTCTAAATGCCGAAACACTGTCGCGCGATAAGGAACGTAATTTACTTTGCGTTAATTACGCTGTTCGCCAAGTTGAATCGCGGCGATCTTTTTTCTCTCCTAAAGTCCAAGTTTAATTGCACATCGAATCAATAGAAAGTGCTAGAGTAGTAAAGGTCTCTTAAAATAGACGAGGAGGTGTTGTTGGATATCATTCCGAAGATCTCTCGCGATCAAAGAGTTTATTTTTCAAAGATGCTTTTCACGCGCTGAACCTCGCGCGGAGTTCACGGACACGCCGCTCGTTTGTGCGATAGCGTTTCGAGGATAACCGCCGCGGGAAACCGGCGAAATCGTTCCCCGCATCGGCGATTCCTCGCGCCGTTGTATGCGCAACAATAGGCGGAAACGTCGGCAGTTACAAAAGGAGCATCGGGAGAAAAGGCAGAAAGAAGGGAACCCCGACTGGCCGGCGGCCCGCGCGCCGGTAGCGCGGGGGCGATAAAGAATCGAGTCAAATCAAAGGTCCGTAGAGAGACGTTAAGGTTGCTGTCTCCGGCAGATGGTATAGACCGTGAGAGATCGCCCCGATAGTTACGGTGCCTGATTAATGCAGGTGGAGATCTCTCGCGCGCACGCTCGTCTGTGTGTATACATCCCTCGTAAATGCGCCAGGAGCGAATCGCCTGAGAAAGATGTTATATCGAGGTTCGTATCGCGAAACCGATCCATTATCGCGCCGTGTTCTGATATTACCTGACCCGTCTGTACTGAAAGGTGTCGTGCTTGCCGTAATATTTTGCAGATAACGATGCACTTGTCGGCAAATAAATAAGAAATTTATTTATTTACGATGTTATTCGAAATTTCAAAATGTTATTCATTAAGTCGATAAATTAAACTAATTTTATTTAGTGAGAAATTATGAAAAAGTCAAAAATCACGACAGTGTTTTACGAGTAAAAACTTACAAGAAATATTCGTAATTTTGTCTTGTTTTTTCTAAGATGCAATCTTCATCCGCTCTACAGTTGTTTATTATACGTCCGTGATACCATTCCGGCTGTCCGATCTAGTGCATTGAGATCTCAGCGGAAAAAAGGCGCAGAGTGTGGGAGGCCGTGATGGGGCCATGAGCGATGGTGCTCGATTACCATAATAATCTCGTGTCGCCGTGTTCGCCGCGTGTCGCAACTCGAGTGGCCGAGTGCCGCGAACGGACGCGATGCACTTCGAGATGCAGCGCGAAGTGCCCGAGCAGCGCGCCGATTTCACTCGGCAATCCACATACCTCTCTTGCAAGCTCCTCTCTTCTTGTTCGAGAGATGGACGAAGCACTCGAGTGGTATTGTCCGGGCGAGTTTGCATTGTAGATGCCACGATGATACCATCTACCCGACGAAGAGTATCAGAAGATAGTCCGTTTTGCCCGGAGCACCGTGAAAATGCGTGTGAGATACTCCGCACGATTGCGCTCGCTATTTTGAGCCTTTCAATACCAATGAGACGAACGAGTGTCTCGAAGAACACAACGGCCTCTTCAAGTAAAATTTATGAATTTTATTTTATTTTTTTTTTTGCATACAATAGTAGTCTTCAAATAAAAAACGGATTTGAAAAGATTTTTTCACCGTTTGCATTTTCATTTCATATATTTCTCGCTTCTCAATCAGAATATAAATAGCAACGGCCACCGGCAACTATATATTCCACGATTAGTGCAGTTATCGATCTCACGCATCTGCAAAATCCATGCGATTCACGTGGGATGGGACGAGGGATATCAGCGATAATCATAAGCCACAGCCGATAAACCCGATACGCGATGCATATCATGTATTCGTGTTACGTATCAGTGTTGGGGATATGCAAATGATTATTAATTATTAGCATGTTGATCGTTATGTCGTCGACACGACGTGCCGGATCGGTGTATCTATGGCCGGGGCCTCTCCTCAGATCGGTGAAACACGATAAACTTTAATTAGGGAACGTATTAACGCACCGACAGCGCACCGGGTACAGAACGGGCGAGCAGCGGCGGCTGAGTGAGTGGTTAGCAAGCAGGTGCACGGATAATTATACGTTTTCCCCGTATATCGTCGCATGCTACCGGAATAATTAAGCAAAACTGATGAGCCTCCCCCTCCGTGAGGTCTTTTACTGCTATCTACCGGGGTAAAGCGCCCGGTGCCTTCCTGAATTTTTAATTTCGGAAGCCCGACGCGAAATTAACCTTATTACGTTCTTTTGTCCCATCGAGAGGAACCGGTGTTCCTAAATTAATCACGCAAAGTCGAAGGTGCGAGACCGCAATTAACAGACCCGCCGTGAAACAATTCAACACGACCGCCATTGACGATTCGATGAGCGGAGTTTAGACTCCTCGCGAGCGGCACACGCGGAGCAAAGCCTTTTTTCAGAGTGGCGCGCACATTTCGCGTCGAGAGGGAACAACGGTTACGTGCCTGGCGCGCGATATTTCTTAATAAGCCGCGATCGTTGGCACGCACGATCGCGATATTTCTTCGAGATCGTTGGCGCGGGCCGAGATACGTGCCGCCGCGCGCTCTCGCGAATGCACCATAAATATCTAAATAGCGGAAGTAAGAAAAATTACGTATTTACGGTAGAGCCGCGCGGCAGAAATAGCGGCGGAACGCGCGATTGCGTTTTGTTCGAGGCGATGTTTCGTGAGAGGTAGGATTTTCCAGAACGGTTCCGCGGACGTGATTCATCGTCGTTTCTCCGAATTCAAAACGAGAGAGAGAGAGAGAGAGAGAGAGAGAGAAAGAGAGAGAGAAGCATTTAGTCGAATCAGGAGAGCATTAGATCGCCAGGAAACGATAGCGCTTAATAAGGCACCGTTGTTAACATCACGACTGTGGTATTTCTTCTCGTTTCTCTACAACGTCGTAGAGAATGTCTAGCCTTCAGGCAAGAAACGAGAATAATAAAGCTTGCTTTATTATTACACATTTAATTTTAAACAGCTTTTCCTTGAAAACTTTCATTTCCTAAGAAAACAAACCTGATGTTTTCACGAGAAAGTTATTCACGAATACACATATATCTCCTTTTACAAAACATTGTTGAAAGAGAAGGAAATTCTTTCGCAAATATGCATCGAGCTGCGTATCTTTCGTTACGATAACGTTTTAAACGGTCGCGAGAAATAATTTCTTCCGAGTCGTCACGAGAAAGAGTTACACGTCCTAATCGATTCGGGAGAAGGTGAAATCGGCGCGGCGCGATACTTGTCGGCAAGACGCCTGTCGTCTGCACGCACAATGGCGATATTTTATTCCCGGTAAGTCACGAGGTTGTGTGCACGGAGAACACAGACCAATTATGAGCGCACGATAAATAAATAAACGGTGCCTAACTGCCGGCGGCGATTAAGCGTGATTATGCTCGCGCTCGTGACGCCAGGCTATAACAGGTCCAATGGACTTTCACCATCGCGACGCGTCGGAATGACTCTCTACAGCGCGCAGCGAACATAAAAGGATGAGGCGTAATGAGCATTCCGAATAAGCGTGCCGCCCGGCACCGCCTATGTATATGCAACGGTCGGGCCTCTCGGTGCATCGCGCGTATCGACTCGTCGTGTGACGAGCCGACTGTACGGGCTCGCTGCGACGCCAACTCTGGAGATTTCTCTGCGCGCTGATTGCGACAGGAGCATCACTCGTCAACCACGCTCATTTGCCGCGGAACGAGAACGTAATTGGGACGTGAAATCGAGAGACTTTAACCGCCTGTGCCTGTCACACACCTGTACCTCAGACACGGACGAATACAGGTCCGCGAATTCATTTATGAGAAGACGCGCAATTTAAAAGAAGATTAAATAAGTATGAAGAAAAAATTTAGTCGGATTAAAATTTACATATAAAATTCTTGGTAATAAAAAGCTTTCTTTAAATTAACAGAATCTCACTTTTTCAATTGATTGATTGTATCAATCTGTCCGACAGAGATATTTTAACTTACAATTATCACGTCAAGCAAATAAAATTACGCAATCTACCGCGAAATTTCTCGCATTGGTGTGACAAATCTACGCCTGAACGTGAATTAATTAACATTAATTATAATTTAACTGCCTTCCTGTCAAGAATATTTCTGTATCCTTTCTTTGACGCTGCGGAATTTAATCACACGCAAATCTTTAACGCCGAGAAATATAAATTTTTTACTAGATTCAATAATAAAATTATTTTATTTTTATTATCTTTCTTTTGCGTAAAGTTTTTTCTCACCGGAGAAATATATAATATATAAATTTCAATATAAATGAGACTTTTTACTCACCTTGGGGTCGAAGTTGAAGACCTGTTCGGGTCTGAGCGGGCACTCGAGGCCACATTTGCAGGTTCCCACTGTCGTCAGATACTCTTTCAGTTGTTCCAGCGAACCCAGCGCCGTACTGCTTGGACTGAAATAGAGAAATGAGCAGAATTATTCTCCAACTCTCTCACCGCGGCTTAACGCCGTGCAAACAAAATATGACGCGCACGCGACATGAATTACGTAATGTTTGCCGAGCTTAGCGTCTTGGTCATTCCTTTTCCTTGTCGCACCGACGACTATATTTCCATTATTATCAACAATACGTATTATCCGTGCGAATAACTACGCCAACTGCAACTACGCGCTTCGTAATTTATGAAACACGCGATCCTTGAATATTTCTTTCAGCAATAACTTTATGATTTTAAACGTACGTCGTTGTTAGGTGTTACTCCAATAATAGCAATGTAACATCGGTCGATTAGTTGCAATACATCAGAGAGCGTCATACAAAACCGTCAAATAATGTATGCAGAGCATAAAATTGACGGGTTCAAAGCAACAGTGGCGTAAGGCTGTAATTTGAAGAGTTTTATATACTTCAGATTTAAAGTGGACTTTGCAAATTATGTATTTATTCCGCTCTTGCTCTGTGCTCTTCAATCGGAAATCCAATGCACCATCATGATTTTACATTTCAATTTAAAGCGTAAATTGCGAGCGTCCGACCGTTGCCGGTGGAATAAATTACAGGTTAAACTACTTAATCGAGGCAGATGCTCGCCAGACATCTGCAAAAATTACCGGGAAGTTCGAAACGCATCAGATGCTACGCAACGATAAACATACTTATTAAATTTTGCAAAAAAACACAATGCAATGAACAGTGCACATATGTTTTATTTGTCCGAACAGAAAACTAGTGACACAATAACAAGCAACAATTATCTCTCCGTACATCGGAAGAGGACTTTGGACGCATTCATTAGCGTTTCTCATTGTTATTGTTTATACGTTTGTACATTAATATATGCATAATGTTAAGAATTAATTAAGATATCGTGTACGCAGTGAGGTTAACCGTTCTCGCGCCCACTCTCGTCTAATCGATAACCACAAAATACCCAATTGAAACTATATTAGACGGGGGAGGATCCGTCAGGATAGGAGAAATACTGCCGGCAAAAAAGGTGTCCGAGGATGTTGCTCGCGTAATCGGCTTCGTGATGAAAAACCATCAAAGCTGAGAGCGCTTCGGGGGAGAAACACGGGGAAGGCGTATTACAATTTGGTCGACCGATCCCTCGCAAAGGGAGAGCGGAAGGAGATAGTTTATTAGCTAAAGATACCGCTTGTCTGCTGACGTATTCCGGACGCGTGAAACGAACGGAACGAGTAAAGGAGGACTCTCCGGTGGTTCAGGGCGAACCGACAAGGTGAAACCAGGCAGGGGTCGTCGCTTATTTATTGATTACCCGGTGGAGAGACAGAGAGAAGGGACTTTGTTTCGAGGTACTTTGCAGCTTCCTAAACTAATAACCGCGGGCGCCTCGTCCCCGGCATTATAACCCCACGGGAAAAAGACGAGAGCCTTCTTCCCCTTCGTCCGCGGAAATGCTCACGGCAATTATTTCTCGTGACAACAAGACGGATTCGTAAACGCACCCCGGCGCACCCTAATTTGTGCCGGATTCGATTTGCTCGTGGAGAAACGCCTTTCTTCTCTGTTATCTGTAAATACAGCACGGCAAGGGTTTGCAAATTATAATGTTCGTATTTTCATTTAGCCTAAGAATTATTCAATTTATCATCTCCTTCAAAGAATATTTTAATGCAAATGTTGCTTTTCAACAAATTTTCCGACAAAAAAGAGAATGATAAAGTTAATAGCCAAATTAAAAATTATAATTTTGAACAGGTAATTATATTTCACTGCTAATCAGTTTTGCAAATTTGAATCCTCGCTGCGAAAATGTTTTCTCGCATAGACACACTGAATAAATTTAACGGGCGAGTGAAATATTTCGCTAATAGCATTTTCATCGCAAAACACGCTTTTAAACGCGCCGTTAACGTGTAAATATCGTGACCGCACAAAGCGCGCAATCCGAAACTGAATTCGCGGCTGCCAAAGGAATGAACTGCAACGGGTCGCACGGTCGCGCAGATTTCGGGCCATCCGCTAAACGCGGTCTCCATCTCGTAAATAATGCGGTAACGCTTCTGCGCCTTGGCAAAAGCCATTTTCCGTACACGGAGTCGCCGCTCCACTCCGGCGGCGACTGAATCCGAATGTACAGTCGCGCGATACCATAAATAAGGGCAGGCAGACTTCCTCCTATTTCCACCTTCCACGCGAAGTGCGTCGGTACGTGCTGCCGGTAACGGCAGCAGAAGAGAGACACCGAGTTACGCCGGATGAATTATGTTCGCTGGCAGGGCCGGCTAAGCCGCTTGTCCTCGTAAAGCACGCGACCGCCCACCGCCGTGAAACCGGTGTCAGCTTTTCCCCGTCCACCCTTTTCACGCACCCCTCCCCCTTTTTCCAGCCCTTTTCCCCCGAGCGCCATCGCGAGATCGCGTAATTATTCTTGTTTTCGGAGACGAAAACGGCAGCACCTAGTGGCCGGCGACCGGCGGCGATTCTATTCGCAAGCGCGATAAGTCCGTCGACTCGTGGAGGGCTGCTCTTTCTCTAATTGTCTCTCGCATAGCGAAAGTTTGGAATTGCGGTGAAAATTGTATAATAAAGCACGCTCGGATTATTCGAATTTACGACACGCTCGAGGATAACGGCTCGTCCCTCTATTATGGAAATATTACGGAGACACGAGAGGGGGCGCGGATAGATGGTGGAACGAAAGTAATACCTGACAATTTAATTGAGTTAATTAACAAGCTGTTCCCGTCCGTCTCGGGCCATTGCTCATTCCGCCGACGAAAAGCAGTGTTGCGGCGACGCGCCGCGAGGGAGGTAAATCAGCCCCCGAGATAAGTAGACTCGTTTACGGGGACGCGGCAATTGCCACCGGCTAAAGAGGCGCGCGTGCTTGCGCGTTATACCTGAAATATCATCAGCGAGAACTGACATCGCATCCGAAGACAAATGCGCAATTACGAGGGAAGCTTTCCCAGGACTGTCGCGCGATGACGCAAACGACCGCCATTTTTACGGTAAATTAATAACTCCGTTGCGTAACGGAATGAATTTCTTAATTAGCGAGGAACGCTTCTCGACGTTGACACATTTATCGATCGATCCTGAAAATCCTTGTTCACTGCTAATTGAAAAACCTGCCATCCGGTTAATCCGACGGTAAAATTATCGCGATAAGAAAATGGCATGTCGTTTGAAACAAAACAGATATTTGGATTAACAAATTCCGCGTAAAAGTTTTGAAGAAATATCTTCAAGTTAAAAAATATACTTCAAACATTTGCTTATCGTAGAATTTTTTGCTAATAATCCAAAGTGTTTCTTCGAATAAACCAGCGATGCATTTATAAGCGACAAGGCATAACTGCAACGGTCAAGTTCCCACAACGCTTGACTATACTTCTCGAAGTTGAAAATGATGTTGGCGCCTGGACTGTACTTATCTACAATCTATGAGCACTCGTTTACCTTTCGCGTGAGCTTTGCAGCCGCCCGCGGTAACCCGCACGCACACTCCACTGTGTCCACCAGTTAGATACGCGCAGATACGTACCAATTTCGACGCTGATCGTGGGAATGGTAAATGCAATCCTTTATTTACCTGGCCTCGCGTCTATCTTCTGCATTGTCCGCTTGCAAATGGCACCAAATCAATCACAGGATATAATTTTGTGCGATGTACGCGTCGGAATAATTTTCGCATTAACATTCTTGGGAAAATTCCGCAAAACGAGAAAAAACCGTCATATCCGCCGTTTGACGCGTATATTAATAAAAATTAAACTTGAATAATGGAGGACAAACGGAAGAGAATATTTGTAAAACAAATCTATAGCTATCTCGTTAATCTCGTCTAATTACGTCGCATTCCGGCATTCGATCGCAAACATTAATTATTATTGAGGTTTTAACGCGTTTCACGGCCCGCGCTTGCGTCATTAAATGCACAAGAGGATGCATCAAGCAGGCGAAAGAGGAGGAGAGCGAAACATGCGCATGTGTCGAAAATACAGGGTCTCGCTGCAATTATAATTCACATTAACAATGCAACTATGTTCCGTGCGATTCAATCCGCCGCGGCAGCTATTATCGGAGAACTCGCAGTTACCGCAATTGCGTATCACCCGGCGCGACGGATAAGCGTGACGCCGTAATAGGAAATTCACGAAACGCTCGAAATTGTTAATCGTCGCGCGCGGCGCGCGCGCAGCGTGCTTTAAACGAAGGTCACTGTGCAGTAAATCGTCCAAGTCGCTTCCCGGTAACAATAACCGCGCGCGCGCGCGCGGTAGAGACTAAAACGCCAATTGGAATTGGCTCGTAATTCGCGCCCGTTCCGACGGATGGCTCGGCCCGATAATTACCGATCGGGGATAAATTTATGACAGCAATAATTTACGCGGAAACTGCGGCCGACTGGCCCGATAAAGAGCGATTAACTATAAAATGAAACTGCCGCCGTCCGTGCTTCGTTCATCGTGATTGCGTGTATGCGCGTGTACACGCATCATCGAATATACGATCGAAATTTAAATCGCGCCGATCAGCATCGTGCGCGCGATCCGTCGCGATAACAATGCAACGAGGCACGTGGAAAAATTACAACTTGAATATCTAAATATTTTTAACAGGCGGCAAAAAAACGCTTCACATCACAGATTACACCGGCCTTAATATTGAGAATTATGGGCATAATGTAAAGCTGTAATATAGTTTTATTCGGCTATAAATGCTTCAAAGCCACAGCCAATACCTATTTTCAGTAATTGCATCAAGAAAAGTGGATAATTATTGCACGTACAATAGACCACGCACAAAGCGTACGCGATGTATAATACGCGCAAAAGCGCAACGTTTATAATATTAATCGCGGCGGGTCGAAACGAGAGAAACAATTTAAATTAATTCGAACGTCGGTCCCATCACCCGTACTTACAACAAGTGAATAATTGAATTTCGAGTCGCTTTATCGGCGGCTTTGTGAAGCA